TACGAAAGAATATTTTTCAGTATGCGTGTGAGGTTCTGACATCGGTGTAGGTACCACTACAGCCACAAAAAGTGTGCAATTGTGATAATGAGGATATGTCTGTTATTTTTAAGTAATACTTACGCAATACTATGTACATTTTCAATTTTCTGTCTTAATATTAAATAGCGTCGTATGCGATCTACAGCTAGAATTGTTTCAGAGTACAAAGTAGGTCATTTACTAAAGGTTATATTAACGCAACAGATGTTTGGTGTTTGGCAAATAGCATTAATTTAAGAAATCACAAAAATTCATAAAAATCACTTCGATATTAGCTAGGTAAATTAGTGTTCCTTTCCTTTAATCTCATATCATCAATCCCTGTACAAATGCATCACTATTTAGACAATTTACTCCAACCTTGCCAGTGGTAACAAAGAAAAACGAGACGCAAATATGTCTTGTAAGTGATACTGAAATGATCGCAGAAACGTATTCATTGCTCTCTATAATTGCATTACAAGTCCTGGACATTATGACTATAGGAAGGGAATACTGTATATCTGTACAGGGTGTTTGTAAAATATATGTCACGGATACCGTAGCGTTATTCTACATCTCTGAATCAGTGGAGATCTATAACAGAACATGACCTTAAAATTCAAGATCAAAGTTTTTTATTATTGCATCGTATTCTACTCGTCATGAGGTCTGAAAGGAACCATAGGTCGCAACTCAACCGTTCTCTTGAAAAATTACGTTCATTTATTTGTAACGGATTCATTTTATTTGCAAACCTACTTGCATTTTTCAGTTAAATCAAAAGCAAATAGCATCTATTATCGTACGCAGTTACCCCAGATACACCATTATATATCCCATATCATCCTTTCTTTCTGTCTTGCTACAAAACGTTTACAGTTCATTATCCCATTCTATATAAATAAGTCAGCGTACTCCCGACGCACAAGTCAGCTGTCGCATATAGTACATTCACCATAACTATACGCAGAGGCCTGTGCGCGCAGTCAACTGGAGGCTTTTGTAAGCAGTTAAGACCACTGTATTATATGTGACAGCTGACGTGTGTGTCGGGAGTACGCTGACTTATACATATGTATATGGGACAACGAACTGTGAACGTTTTATTGCAAGAAAGAAAGAAGAGAAGATATGGGATATATAACGATGTATCCGGTGTATCGACGTGCGACAATAGATACTATTTGCCTTGCATTTAACTGAAAAATGTAAACAAACTACAAATAACGTCAGTCCGAATACTAATACTCATTAGTACAGTGCGACCCACGGTTCTTTTCAGACTTTTTGTATTCATTATGAGTAGAATACGATGTTATAATAAAAAAGTTTGACCTTGAATTTCGTCAAGGTGAATCTTGCGATGTCTTTCTTTTGTATATCTTCACCGATCTGGAGATATAGAATAACGTTATGGTAGCCGTGACATATAATTTTCAAATACACAGTACATTCTGAGTGAGCAGGTTAACCCTTTACGGACGGATGTCGGCAAATAGCTACCGACGCCGTTTTATCGTTGCGGACGGATGTTGGCATATAGCCGCCCATATGTATTTATCGTTTTGAGCGAGAAAGCACCTATGGTCATAATATAATGAACATTTGGAGCCAGAATGCAGCTCGTAGAAAAAGTCTCACGCCTTCTGAATGGTCAAGTCTTATCTCCCTTTAGGATAAACTTTTATAAGTTTTTTACTGAAGCCAGGTTGAAAACTCCCCTCCGCATAAAAGTGAAGCATTGCTGATACATATATACAGGGTGATCTTCTCACTACGCAAATCAAAGCTTGTGCCACTCTAAGGAACCGCCGGGTCGGCGCGTGTACTCTGTCGACCAGTCCTCCCTGTTGATGACGCCTCGGGGCCACACACACATGCGCCGACACGGCTGTTCTTTAGGGCAGCACAGCCGTTGATTTGCGCAGCGAGAGAATCACTCTGTGTGTGTGTGTGTGTGTGCGTGAGCGTGTATCACATGTGACGTGTATATACATATATGGAATATCCTTCATATGTTACTTAAACACATATATACAGATATACTCTGGACAAAAATCGAATGGAACAAATTGGATGTTACGAAGCAGAGATTTATGATTCGTCTAATTCTTCATGTTTTCAATTATCTATTATTGTGTTGCATGAAAAATCATAGAAATCATAACTCTCTAATTCGAAGCATCCACCTGTAAAGAAAAAGATACACATTTCAAAGCTACGAATATAAAAATTTTATTATAAAAGTACAACATAATCAGAGTTGGGCAAAGTGTAATCTAATTACAAAATCCAAATCACAATTACAATGCAATTGCAGTGTAATTCCAAGACAATTACAATGACAATTACATTGTAATTAACTATACTAAATTTACAATACAAATTACAATGTAATTGTAATAACCTACCAATAAAGTATAATTATATATATATGTATCTATATTGAATAAAGTAATATTAATAATAGTAATACAATATTCAATTATTTACATATTCTTTTATAAGTAAGAACACATTCTTTTGTACATAAAAATGTTTTTAGCTTGTCTAGCATATACGTTAGACAAGTGCTTCTGGCTATATGCGACGATACCCCTCGTCCACAGTGACGCTTACTTGTACATACAGTTCCGTCCGCAAAGGGTTAAAGCAATAGCGCGGAATCTTCTGCAAAATGAATAGAAAGTGGGAAAAAGATACTACTAGTATTATTCCGCGGTTAAACTGTGTAGTAATCGAGACCTTATTGTATCAATGTTCATTATTTTTAAGGATTGACTTGTCACAATAAAACCACGTGCCTCTTGCGGTTGTACAGTAGGTTCTGAAATCAAGTGTTCTATTTATTCCATATTTATTTTTCAAGTTCTAGTCGATTATTACTAACCTATGCATTTTTTGTAAATAAGTACGCTGTTGCCTGAAGTATAATGGACCAATTTGAAACTAATAATGTGACCGACCAGGCCGTCATTGCATTGTGACGAAATCTATCGTAGGTACTTAAAAACCTATAACTGACATCGAATGTACCCACGCGAAACGTCTATTGACAAACACAAAGCAGGCTTGTACGTGATATTGTTAATGCACTGCTTCTCGCATGAAATAAACATATTTATTGCAGTCTACACACTTAGTTGGGCAAACGACTCAATTAAGTTTGACGGTAACATTTATTGCGTGACAGGTAGGAATAGTAATGGATGAATGAACTTAATGATATACAAGCCACTATAATTCTATGAATTTACTTTCCTTATGGCTGATATCATAATACGATATAGATATTGACAGCGTTTCTATAATATAAAGTGATCCGTTGATGAAGATCCTCACTAACAAAAAACAATTAACATATTTAGGGCAATTAATTTCTGATTCGCCATGACCATGGTATACACCAGTATTATCCTCGAAACACTGTTACTGTGTTAAGTTTCCTATAGCCCCATGTACCTTTAGAGTGGAACAACTGAATATATGTTACTATTTCGGCTACGAAGTAAGCAGATATTACAAATCCGTTATTGTACTGCCCGCGCCCGTGACTAACCTGGCTAATGCGCATCGGCGTAATCTAAGCCCTCGCGTCAGGCGTTTTTCACCCATATTTTTAACATTGACACAAGCCTGAACAAAGTTGAACAAAGGCTCTGACGCAATTTTGTTACTCTTAATTTACGTCCCAGTTTGACAGACAATATCACCCATTAAAATTTCTGACGCATGCTATCGAACAGCTTATATATTTAAATCACATGTAACATCAATAATCAATCAACTAACTACTTTAAGCTTAATAGCCAGTAGCATAAGATGGCTTGCCTTTGCGCAACAGTCTACTATTCGTTTATCATATCCATAGTAATGTCGAGGGTTATGAAAATCGAATAGCAGAAAGCAAAATATTGAGTTTCTGTCGATTTTCATTAAAGATGAACTTCGTTGGACCATAATTACGTGATTTTTCTAGGGATATAGCACTAGAGTAGCTATTGAAACAGGGTAGCTATTTAAGTGATTTTTAAAAAATTCACTTAAACGACAGGAATTTAGGAAAGTGTCTACCTGTTTAAAAGTATGAGAAGTTAGGCGTTTTGTGGACCGATGTGGTTCATAATCAACCTAGCCAGGAGGTGTATCCGTATTGCGAATAAATAGTACACATATAAGCTTTACTTTCAACATATAGCTTTTCACGAATGCCCACACTCGACGAATAGGTATTCTTTTCATCAACAATATTAGCTGCATTAGTAAAAACTTTACACCGCGTTCCCATGAATCGCGGCGTGGAACTTTGTATTTTGTGTTTCAACGTGCAAGCGGCTATTCCGATGAATATCAGAAACTAAGCTAGTCAATTAGGCCTCCGTTCTATTGGAATTGCCTTTTGCTTTCCTGCTTGGTGCTTCTGTCGAATTCGATAGACTTGAAACATATTTGGGTGACAGACCTCAGCTGGACGTAATAGTTTTTCCTACAAAATTGATTCTTTAACTCTATGTTACTGCACAACAGAATCACCAAGTACCAGACCTTTCGTAAGCTATTTCACGGCTCACACTCGATTATAAATATTACGAGTCTATGCGAAGGATTTCTAGAAAATCCTCCTCTCAAATGTAAACGTCTGATCAATCTGAACTCTAATCCTTCGTTTGTTCTCCCTGTTCCAAGATTATTACAACGCTTCGAAATTTCATATGTGACAGATTATCGAAAAAAATTAAAAGGGTAATGTATATGGACACACAACTGATCGCCTTATAGAATTTTGTATCGATTCAATCTAACCAGCCTGTTTTGAAATTATAAATTATCGATGAGAAGTCTATCTACGAAAAAACACAAGAAGTCGTCTTAGCTGCTAAGTTGTCTTGCCCCCTTCACCAACGGCCATGCAAGTACCTTTTGTAAAAAACATTTTACATAGTCATGCGTGGCGAACGGTGGAGGGGGTCTGGCCGCTATGCTTGGTCCACTTCGTGACAGACCTCCATATAGTCCGGGTTGTGCATTATATCCTTTATCATGTCCTTTAAGATAGGGTAACGGGGGAAGATCGGATACACCTTCGAGTTATTGTATTCCACCTGCAACAAATAGTGCATTAATTACGCATAGATATCATATACTCGACTTGAACCACATACACTAACAATAAGACAAGAGTAAAAATTATCGCTAAACCGTTAGATGCCAAGATCCTGCATAATTGGCAGTTTTAAAACATACGTTGTGTGTCCAAAAAGTAATGAGAATTATTCTATTGTAAATTGTTTAACTAAAAGATTTTACAAATCAATGTTATGTCCCTCAACGTATAATCCTGGGGAACGCAAACAACGCTCCCAGTGCGTCTACCATTCTCAGTAGCATTACTGGGAATTTTCAACTGTGAAGATGTTCAGAGACTGTATCATGGTTTCTTGTATTTGGGCGACTGTGCCGAAATGGTGCCTTATGAAATGTGTTTTCATCACAGGGAATAAATAAAAGTCACACGGAGCTAAGTTTGGGCTGTAGAGTGGTAAAAGTTTTACCTGACAATTCATGATCGCTTGAGGAAGGAAGTTGTGCGTGATGAGATCCCCAGTTCATGGATCATTCATTACGATAATGAACAGAGTCACACTTTATTGTCTGCCAGAGAGTTTTTGGCTGGAGAACAAATTTCACTCCTTCCATATTCACCATACAGGTCAATCTTGGTTCCCAGTGACTTCTTTAATTTTCTAAGATGAAGACATATTTGAAAGGGCACCATTTCGGCACAGTGGACAACATGGAAAAGCCACGATACAGGCTCTAAACACCGTCACAGTTGAACATTTTCAGCAATGCTAGGAAGAATGGTATAATCACTAGGAGCGTTGTGTAGAAGTTTATATTCGATGAGAAACATCGGTTTTATGTGTAATAATAATAAACGTAATATCATAGAACGTACAATTTCCGAATTGGAATTTATTCGAAAGTATAATTCCTACCACTCCACTTTAAAAGAACATTCACTACATTAATGTCATTATAATATTTTGAGCAACCTGAGTAATGGTTAGAAAACTGACTTCATTCGATCATGCAATAGTAAGCCTTTGTATTGTAAAGGGTATAAATAAATTATATGTCATGGCTGTCAGGGGTGATTCAACACCTTTATTGGTGGACATTTGTTATGTTACGAGCCAGGGTCGCGAGCAAAGCGAGAGGCCGGTGGTGTAGGTTTTCAAGGAATACGGTTTATCAGTTTGTTAGTTAGGTGCGCGGACGAATCTGACACGAAGTCAAAGAGTCGCTAGGATGATGGAAAGCGAGGACAAACCTGATGCGAAATCAGGGAGCCTCTAAGGATGGAGTTACTTGTGGACGGACCTGATGCTAAATCAAGAACCAGTTGGATAGGTCAGGTTTCGTGGACGAACCTGATACGAAATCAGGGAGCCGCAGAAATGTTAGTTAAACTTCGTAACTTGTTTTATAAATTTAGATACAACTCGAGCGGTAAAGTTGTATCGTGTGGGAAAAGGTCAACTACGACTATAATGATTACCAAACCAATAAATTTTTATAATAAAATTACTCACGTTTATTATGGAATATTACTTGAATATTACACAATCAGTCTTTGGTATAAGTATGTGTAGTGTAGTGTTGTCGCGGTAAAGTATTAAGTGTAGTATTATCGATTAAATGCTCGGTGTTAACGCACTGGCAATGCGGGGACAAGGAGCTGTTTTAAATGAGTACCGAATAGAACTGCAATGGAACTCGCAGATTCTATAAGGTTAACTGATGATTCGAAAACGAACTTAAGCCCGATCTCACTGGATACAACAAACTCTTTACCGGATATAATACGTCGTGACTCTACAAGTGATTGTACCATTCTAGCCCCGGGGGGTTAAAATGAGAGGATTTACATAGTCCCAAAACTGGGTGGGGTTTCATTAGAATTTCCCTATAAGGAAATTTTAACGGTCGCAAGTGAATCATGATTCTGTCTCTGGTTGCTATCCAGTTGGTTGAGATTACGCACCCCCCATTACTTGAGGAATAAACAGACGTAATTTTAAGGCGTTTTCCGTTGTCAGGCGAGCGGTTGAATACGATTGAAAATGAAAATTAATCTCCATACGTAACAGTCAAAAAACTGTCTGCAAAGTTGTTTATACAAATGAAAATTAAAATACTGTTTTTTTTTACTTGAACATATTCTGCGCTTTGAAAAGAGAAGAAGCTTAAAGGAAACCATATTTCGCAAACAAATACTTTGCCCAGGAAAAATAATTAAATATTCATAACGATGTGATTATATACAGGGTATTTCACGTAACTTGACCACCTTAAATATATCGCTTATTTTGTATGATAGAAAAAATATTAGGGGAGAAAAATATTCTGTTCGAAGGCGCCAATACGGTGATGGGCCGAATTGTTTTCTCAAGGTCATTTTTTTCGAGATTTCAAGGTCATCGAATTTTTTTTTAATGGGATTACATATTTTCACTACAATACTCTTATAGCATATAAAAAAAGAAATCCAACGAGGTGCAATATGTTGACCTTCACGTGACCTTTAGCGAAAAAATTATGAAATGTTTGTCAGTAAGCTCAGTACGCGTTCGAGGACGGTAAATGAAGGAATTTCAATTTCATTGGAACAGTCTTTAGTTAAATCTTTATTTTACAAGGTGTTCAAAATGTGCACCATGAATCTGGATACATTTTTGGAGGCGGTAAATAAATTCTTGCTGTACATTTTTAAGTTGCTCTGCAGTAATTGATCTACATTCATGTAGAACCCTTTGTCGCATGTTTTCTGCCGATAAAAGGAGAATACGAATGTCTGTTTACAAGCACAAGGGACAATTACACGGTACACTGTTCCAATGAAATTGAAATTCCTTCATTTACCGTCCCCGAACGCGTACTGAGCTTACTGACAAACATTTCATGATTTTTTCGCTAAAGGTCACGTGAAGGTCAACATATTGCACCTCGTTGGATTTGTTTTTTTATATGCTATAAGAGTGTTGTAGTGAAAATATGTAGTCCCATTAAAAAAAAATTCGATGACCTTGAAATCTCGAATAAAATGACCTTGAGAAAAAAATTCGGCCCATCAACGTATTGGCGCCTTCGAACAGAATATTTTTCTCCCCTGATATTTTTTCTATCATACAAAATAAGCGATATATTTAAGGTGGTCAAGTTACGTGAAATACCCTGTAGTATTACACTAAAAGGCATGGGCCTACCTCTACTCTGCCGCTTGGTAGTATTCCTAAACCAACACAATATAACGTTCAAAGGGATAGTAGACTTAAAAAGGTGCATTGACTTTTCTTACTTTTCACTATCAGATGATTCACACAGATGATAATAAGAAATAAACGGGGATAAGTTCCCATTAGTGTACAAAGGTATCGGTGCTGAAATAGTTACATAAATAGGTATACATATGTTTGTAGCAGACAAGTCGCGTATTTTACAAAATTTTATATGCCGAATTTTTGAAGCTGCATATGCTGATACCAAAAAAATCTAGGCGAGTACAGTAAGAGTTCTCAGTAACACATATGCGGTTTATTGGATCTGATTTAGCCATTGATGTCTTATAGCAGGCATGGAGATTTACCAGCTCAATGAGTTGAGGACATTGAGTAAGGTTATTAAAAATCTTAAACAGGAAAAGAAAGTCCGCCATAATTCTCCTAGACTCGAGATATCGCAGATTCAGCCGAGACATGATTGGGTTGTAATCGTGGTCGGTAACAGGCGTACTTTAACCAAGCTTCTATGCAGCGAACCGCAAGAATTTATGCTGCACCCTCTCAATGAGCAGTTTATATTTTAATTGATTTGGCGACCAGATGACAGACGCATATTCTAAGTGAGGTTTAACTAGGGTGCAATATAATAATTTGAAGGTTCGGGGACTAGTAAAGCTCAAAGTACATCTCTTAATAAATGCTGATTTCTTGTACGCATCGCTAACAATACGCTGGTAGTGGGGAGAGAAGTTTAAATGCGATCTGTAGTGGACACCAAGGTCGCAAATTTCTGAAATCTGGGATAGAGCCACATCTGTAAGTCTGCATTCGAAATTTATCGAGCATGCATTCCGTGAAAAACGCATGAGATAGCACTTTGTATAGTTAAATGCCAGACAGTTGATATCACACCAATGTTCTAAGTTACATAGATCACGTTACAATAGATTTCAATCTTGACGGCACTGTATTTGTTTGTAGATCTTTAAGTCATCCGCATACAACAGGAACTTACTAAAGCGAATCACTTTAGACAAATCATCGACGAATAGGATGAACATAAAAGGACCCAGATGTGATCCTTGAGGAACGGCGGATGTTACTTTAATTGGAGCTGAGTATGAGTTGGCAACGCGGATAATCTGTCTGCGGTCGAACATGTAGCTCGAGAGCCAAGACAGTAAGGGAGCGCAAAATCCCATCGACGGCAGTTTCGATACAAGAGTATTGTGAGCAACAATGTCAAATGCCTTTTTAAAGTCAGTGTACACAGTATCTACCTGGTTGCGACGATCAAGATTGGTTGAGAAAAAATTACAAAAGCTGGAGAGGTTCGCAGTTGTTTTGGCATGAAACCGTGTTGCTCGTTACACACCAGATTCGTAATAATGGGCTTAATACTATCTACAATTAAACTTTCGAATAGTTTAGGTACATTTTCGGTACATTTTCTAATAGGCCTCGTAGTGTTTCCGACAAAAATGTGGAGTATGTTTGACCTGGTGATGATCCCTCAATAAAGTACGGTCCAATGATTTGGTGAGCAATCATGCCGCACCAAATATTCCCTTTCCTCCGGTGTTGGTGGTCAATTTCACATGGCATGTGGATTCTGTGTTGCCCAATAATGCATATTTCTTGTATTAATATCCGCAATTTGTGACCGTGGCTTCGTCAATCCATAAAACAGTCTGTACAAATGTACCATTCGAATCTTCCATCTGGTGCAACAACCATTCACAGAATTGTACGCGTTTCCCAAAATCTCGTCCATGTAGCTTTTGATGTACTGACAGGTGATACAGATGAAAGTTATCCGAATGAAGGAGACGCACAACACTGTTTTGACTAATGCCTGAACCACGCGAAATCTTCCATGTACTGATATGTGGATTATGGGCAACAGCTGCTAAGGTAGAAGTACGACATCCTTCTTCATTTACAATTTTACGACGGTTACGTTTCTGTACGATAAAACTGCCATGTTCTTGGAGCCTTTTACTATGGTAAGCCTTACAAAGATAAAATGTGATGGTTGATTTCGATCAGGATACTTAGTTTGGTATAATATCTTAGCTCTCGTAGCATTTTCATCACACGCGCCATAAATAATTATCATATCGTACTTTTCTCTGTTACTGGACATCTTACTTTCACGTTTACTGAGCTACTAAAGAGCTACTAAACTCAGCTACATCTCATACTCATGATGTCTAACGTGTAACAAAGAACGTGTTTACAAACATGACTTGCCGTCGTAAACGAAGTTGGATTAAAAAACTGAAGGTGACCCTCATATCTCGATAAAAAATCAAAATAACAAAAAACAGCACTGTATGCCCCCTTGGAAACCATGCAACATTTGTTTAAATAACTTTTTTGTACAACAAATAGCTTACGAGTTATTTGAAGTGGTCATGTTACGAGACTCACCCTGTATATAGGGTGTGCTAGATGTACACATCTTTCGATTATTATCGCCGTTACTTTTAGAGATATCAAAACAATTGATTTACAAAAGTTATTGAGTATTCAAATATTTTATTAAAACAATATTATATTCACCGCAGTTTCTGTAATGAAAAATATGTGAGTAACAACGCGACACCATATGCATTCCGTTCTTTCCTTGCTGGACGCAAAGTAGCGTGTGTGCACGTATGTGAGATGTACATATGAGTGAGGGACGTTCCTATGTCACGTATGTCGGGCGTGCCAGAATCGAATGTCTATTGTAGTTGGAATAAATGTTGTTGTTAAATCGGTAGATCGTTCTTCTTGTGTCTATTATAGTATTACGGACTCCTGTGGCGGCATAAAATTCCATAAAATGATATATTCTATATCGCGCTGGGCCTCTAGCTTGAGACGACAGATTTGTCACCGAGGAAAAAATTTCTTTGCGTTTCGTAACCTTGTAACGCATTTAGCAAATAATCTCATGTGTTTAATCTGCTATAACGTTGCGAAGAGATAGAACGAAAGCGAGCTTTTTTGGCACGTTTACCGGATTATCAAGTTTTGAAGTATATTGTGGATAGAAGGATGATATCGTTGCACTTCATCATAGATACCTTTAAATCTCGGATGAGGTTCCTGAGACCAGTATATCTTTTCAGCAGTCTGTAGAGATCGTTGGTCAACTGCGTGTTCTCTGCTTCGATTTGGGCTGTGGTCATACCTGCTCGCGTTAATAATGATTTCAATTATGTCGAGTTTAACCACCGGGTATTGAATTACCTACGTAGATACACTTATTAATCTAAATGTTCGAACTTTACGTAATATTCCTTTATACTGGCAGAGTTAATCGATTTTTGAAAACTCAGTATATCCAAACAACTAATTTTTGTTGTAACTTCAACTCACCCTCAAGTCTTTCGATGCGTTCTCTTTTGTTTTCCACTTCCTCGGCCAGGCGAGCAGTAGTTTTCACACCTTCTCCGCTTTTGTGACTTTTTTCCATGATAGAGCACGCGCGCAGGACAAAGGCGGGTACTGTTTCCTGCTTTTCCTGCTTCGGTATGTCCACCAGGGTCCAGTATTGGGTCTCTAACTTGATCACATCCTAGAAATACAAATCCGCCAATACATTACATTGTTGGTTCGATTGAGTCCTACTATTTCAAACACAAATGTTTAATTGTATAATTACCTTGATCATAACTTTCAGAAGGTTATAACGTTGAAACACATTGCGAACCTGTTTGCTGTCAGTGTATTTACACATTAACACAACGAGAGCACGTTTCGCGATCTCATAACTCCCCTCCAGGCGTATCCTTACAATCCTTAACCTTTTGTTTGTCTCAATCGCCTCTTCCTTAGTCTGTCCACCTGAATTAACAGAACGGATAATAACAATGAATCTCTCAAGATGCACCCGTAATCCTGGGATTTGTAGCAGCCACGCATCCCTTAAGGAGTTCGGGGGTACGGCCCCGATGGTAAGCCAAAAACGATAGGATAATTTTGCAGATGGTTTTACAGAAATTTATGAACTTATATAAAAATATAACATAAGGTACGTGTGATGTGTATAAAAAAGAATGAAAGAAATTTGTTTAGTATTTTTGAATAAAAAGTAGCGGCACAATAGCTGCACTAACTGTACGTATTTTCCATTTGAGTGATTCTCCGTGAAAGATTTCACGTCCATACCATTGGACCTAGAACAAAGAACACACAAAGTTTTATGACAAAACTTTTGTCATTTACACACTAAATACCCATGATTTGTGCAAAATATTGAAAACTCTTTTTGCAATTAAGAGATTTGATACATTATGGTAAGACATTTTTCTGCAAAAAGTAACAATTGTTTTTAAATGTTCGCCGGTTCTTCAAGTCAATATTTTTTCGAAACCTTGGGTACGTACATCTTTAGTATTTAGTCTGTAGGTAACAAAACTTTTTTTTTTCTGTTCTAGGTCCAACGCTGTCGACGTGAAAAATACCAACCGCAGAATGACCCAGTGGAAAATACGTCCGTGCGGGCGGCTAATGTGCCGCAATTTTTTATTCAAAATTTCTAAACAAAATTTGTTTGTGTTCTTTTTCACACATATCATAAGGACCCTAGGACACATTTTTAATAAAGCTCATAAATTTCTTTAAAATCACCTCCAAAGTTATCCTATCATTTATTGCTTGTAATCGTGACATTAACCCTTAAGGGAGGCTTGTCCAAAAAGATTGCCCTAGTGGCAGCATTTTTCCTTACGGCTCCGTGGGCCGTGAATTGTGTTCGTGCGCTCGCACAAGCAACGGGAACCGTGTATGTATACGTGATGCACGAGAGAGACAATCGATTTCGTAGGAACGAAAGTACGCCTCGCTAATTGCACAAATGAAGTTATCGCGGGTATAGAACTCACGGGTAGACTTCACTACAGGGTGCTCTGGTCTGTATAAACACCAATAAACACCATACGTTGAAAGCATTGGAAGTTTAGAAAATCTACGATTAAGACAGACGCCGATGCCAACACACAAGATGGCTGTTTAAGTCACATTTTGTCTAATATCACACGATATAATGGTTTTCTCGTCAAAAGCAGAGCAGACCACCCTGCACACCACTATCACATTATCGTGGAAATGCTATTTCTGTCAATTTATCACTTTTGGAAGTCACACATTGGTTTCTACGATTTGACGCGTTCAGAGTCAAGAATATCCAATGGTATACTTCGAGGGATTCTCCGCTAGGGGCGCTTATGATATATGTCTGCCACTTTGGCCATGTTACCATCAACATCAATAAAACTACAAATCAGTCGGTAAATGTAACCACAGACGAGGTGTAAGAATAGACATTTCATCCAATGTATTTTTGTGACACACTTTTCTGGGGTTACATACCCAATTTCCATTTTAGTGTCACTACCCACCGCAGATTCACCCTTCTCAAAACGTAGAAGTCGCTAAAATCATTATTTAGTGTCACTACCCACAGCAGATTTACCGTTCTCAAACGCTGGAGTAACGAACGCCGCGAGATGGCGGAGAGACGCGAACTGTCTCTCGCTGGCTAAATCGACCGGTGACAACGATAAGAACCGCGGGCCGCGACGATTCGGTAGTGACTCATGTTTTACGAGCCCAGACACCGTTCACACACTACGGGCACCGCAGTAAGAGACATTTTTTGTTCCAAGTCAACTACCGTTACATCTCCACCGACCATTCCACCGGGTCCGAACTACCGATCGGTTCTTAGCCCGTCCACCAGGCTCAGACTTCGGTTTGTAATAAGTCGCCATTCCTCCGGGTGCCAACTACCGTTCGGTTGATAGCCCGTCCTCTAGATTTAGACTTCGGTCTGTAATAAGCCGACACTCCACTGGGTCCGAACTTTCATTCGGATCGTATCCGCCTGTCCTGCTCAGACATTATGGTCTGTTTCACTAAAGAAGAGCCCTGGAAGGTCTGCCCAACTTTTCGCGGTGTTCTCGCGATAGCGACACGTCTGCGACGCTGGTGCCTCTCTCACTTTTCGGGCTTGGCTCATGACGTGCGACCGTCGACGTGAGTCCTCGCCTACGGTCGTCTGTCTCCATCGCACGTATTACAAACCTCTCGAGAAGGACCTACCTACAATCTCAAGGAGTGGGGACTGCGTTCGGCACGCGCCCGTCAATCACCCATTGTCTAGAAATGGCGGAGAATGTTGACGAGACGCTGAACGTTTTTACACGTCACAGTTAAAATACATGAATAAGAAAAAGTTTATTTCTTTTGAAAGAATGTATTGTACCCAAATATTGAGCAATATATTAAAAGCGGATTAAGTTAATACATAAGTTTTTAAACGCTACATGTGGAAATCGTAGGGCAAAGAAAAAAGTTGGTTTACTGAGCGTCTGAGCGAGAGGCTCTCGTAATGCTCATGCCGAAGCATGGAAAGAGTCACACACTGTCATTGGGACCGTGACAACGTCGCAGGAAATACGCAGCTCACGTTGAATACCCACCAGGCCTCGCGCCGAGGAGAGGAAACCCCTCAGGGCTCTTCTTTAGTAGAACAGACTATAGTCTGTGGTAGCCGCACTACCGCCGACAACCTTCTGTTTCCGTCGAAAACTGTCCGCCGAAGACCAGCGAGTCTCCATCGGTATATTAGGTCTCTGCGAGGGAACCGATAACCTCCGCGTAACAGGGTACCCGCGCCGTGGAAACGTACCGTCGCGCCGTACCGCGTAATCGATCGGACTACCGTACCGATTGCGAGCGAAGATGCAGCCGCGTAAAGAATTTATACATTGACGTTAGCCTAACGGCAATAAACTTGTATATACCATAGATACCAACACATGTCCGTTTATTTAAACGACACTTGGCATACCGACTGAGTCGGCTCTCTAATCCTCTCGCATTCATCGGCGACGTTCATCGCAAATTATTAATTATATTATAAATTATAATTGTATTATTAGTTTTTTATATTTGTGTAAAATATAAATTATCATTGACACTTTGATATGGTTTTGAACCTCTGTTTCGGAATGAAAATGTAAGAGACGCGTTCGGCAAAAGTAAATAGGACAGAGCGCTTCCGCACCATACTGCGAGCCTGTCAACGATCGCGTGCGCCCAACGCCGATTTGCTAGTTTCGTCCCTGAATTTCGCGACCGTGGTGCGTTAACGTATTTATGGAATCTGCGCAACTCTGTTCAAACTATCGATCATCTATCGATAGTTTTGCGGTGATTGATATTCTTGGAACCAATCCGGCGCTTCTCCGAAAAATCCTAACGAATTGCAAACTAAAACCAGTAGAAACTTCGCTGCTCGCCAAGCATTCTGTCGTGAACCTTTGTAGTAATCGCAGATCTTAACAAACTTCTCATATTTCAACTCGTGCGTTAATTATCGCAACACCACAAGTGTTATATTTATCGCTCTCGACGCTCGAGTACAATTGTGGCGATAATCGGCGATTAGTGTAAACGATTTTCGTGATCGCCTAGATTTTTCGTGTACGGAACTCTCGATCACCACTTCGCGGCTCTCCAGTGCCCACTGAGTGTAATCATGCTTTCGTGAGACATTGTTCAGGCTCTTAACTATAAACTGTTCCGGCCAGACTCAGGTGTGTTTTTTCGCTGCAACACCACCTTCACTTCGTATCCCTTTCAGGGCGGTCGTTTCAATCCAATGATCCACTCGGCCCGCAATAAACTCGCAACATAAACAACCGCATTGAAATAATCTGGAGTGGTAGCAGTACTGTAATCGACCATAATAGCGGAGCGCCAGGTTCTTTTACCATCTAGGGCTGACTTCACCCCTCCAACGTGGATGAGAACAGCTAAAAAAAAACAGGTACGGTACGTTGGTGGTCCTCTTCTCTTCGGACCGCTTTTGCAAAGCACGTGTTCTCGTATAACGTTGGTTTGTTTTCACCTATATCGTGATGTGGTGGGTAAGAAACTCACAATGTAACGATGCGAAACTGCGTGGAGGTAGAGGAAGCCCTTTCGGAAAAATTCTCTCAGCCCGTTAGCAATCGGGCAACAGAGATGTTCAGTTCACGGGAGTATCACGCAATGTTCTGGTGATACGCACAGAATAACGGATATGCGGCTGCTGCTGTGCAAGTGTTTGGCTGCGTAAAGCATCTGATAAATTGAAAACAATCGGCCCCTTTCGGGGCCACCAATTTTCGTAACATAGGAACAACAGGTTCGAAGAAAAATAAATTAATTGATCGTCTCAGATGATCAGTGTTGATGGTCGCGAAGTAAAGTGAATGCATATTCGGTAGAATAACCCTGACGCATTTGATGTTGCGATCTTTAACGTCGGCTGGTGTCGCATACCTGCGATCACCTGTGACATGGATTCTACCCTGCCATAAACCAGGGATGGAAAAGAAGCGAACCGCTCGTTGCGATGCAGTCCTTAAGCGGTCTTTAACCGGAAGCGCCACTCAGTTTGGGGTTCGAATCGTGAAATCGCTTCCATAACAGAATCGCTCGAAGTACCTACCACCGGTTCTTTTTTGCGAACCGCTTCTCCCTGTAAATGCCTATCTGTAAAGCGGTATTACAACCGCTTCTTTGGGTTTCAGAAGTGCTTCCCGGTTTACCTGTCTGGCACTTCTCCTAATCCAGGGAGGGAAAAAGAACAGAACCGGCTCGTTCAGGAGCGGGTTTTCACCACTCAGATTCCGTTCCGAATAACGGAAGCGATTTCACAACAGAATCGCTCTAAAACCGCTCCTATTACCGCTTTCATGAATATCTAAAACTTCTAAAAGTGTTCATTTGGCCGAATGATTGGACGAAAATTACGGCATGTCCTAGAGATTAAATTCACTGTCCTAGTGTTTGGACATAACATTCAATAAATTATTCAAAGCTAATTGTTAGTAGTAAAACATAATACTTTTCTTTTATGTTGTAAAAATTCAAATAAAAACGTAACAAATGTAATTTATAGATCCTTTAATGTTTCCTTTACGGGGTACATCTGCGGATACCCGCTATGCTTAGGAAGCTTAGATACTAAAAACTAAGAACTAAAACCTATCTACTTATTCCACCGTCTCCCACCGATCTTTCGCACGCTCGTCTCTTTTGTCTCTCTCTATCTCTTCGTCGCTCTGTGTCTCCGCCCCTTTTATATCTCTACCCTTTCCTCCGTCTCCCACCTCTTTTTCTCCTTACTCATTCCACCTTTCCCTCCCACTTAAACTTGCGACCTCCGCTTCCGCCGTTCTCCACTCTTTCTCAGTCATTCGCACTCATTTCCACCTTCCCTTACCCTTCCCTTGACTCCCAATTCCCTTTCCCTAATCCTCTCCATCCTCCTCCTTATCCATTCCCCCCCCCTTCCCCTCTCCATCCAGCACTCACCTTACTTTTTCTCCTATCCCTTTTCTCTCCCTCTTCTCCCCCTCACACCTCATCAGCACGTGCTCCCAATCCTCCTCTTCTTCTTCACATACCCTGCACCTATTCTCCTCTGTCCCCAACCAGTACCTCCCCCCTTCATCTCATTTCCCATCCTGAACCTTATTTCCCTCCTCCATCTCTCCTCCTTCCACCCCTTCTCTAGAGACCCTGGTAAGCATTCCTCTCTAAACTCCCTGTACCTCCTGTTGTATCTCAATTTCGTGATCCTCTCCCAAATCTCCATCTTCAGTATTTTTTTTCCTCCCTCTCCATTCCTTCTCATATCCTCTCCATTCTTCCTATCTCTTTCGCTCTCACCCCCTCTCCTCCATGAACTCCTTCCTCTCTTTTTCCCATACCGATTTCCCCAGTCCACTTCTCGCTCTCTCCTGTATCTCTCTCAGACATCTTCCCGTCCAAACTCCCCCTTTCCCTAGCGTCCAACCCCATGACCTATCTCAAATACTTCTCATGCATCCTCTCTATCCGTTCTCTCTCCTTCCACCCCCATATTTCCACCCCGTCTTCTCGCCACCGTCCACGCCATGGTGTCGTATAGCCATACTCATACTCCTTTTCCAGTTTCCCGCGAAAACCCTCTTCCTAACCCCCAAACCACCCCCATCGCCCCTGCCGCCTTCCTTTCCCTCTCACTTACATGCCCTTCTTGCTTTCCGTTTCTCTGTGTCCTGTACCCCAAGTCTGGGTTAGGTTATATAAAGCTCTAACACCTTCTCCCTCAGATATCTCTTCAACTCCTCCATCATCAGCTTCAACCCTCCTTCATCCTGCGCCACCATTACGACATCATCGGCATATACTAGGCTGAACAGTCCTTTCCCCCCTGCTATCACCCCTCCTTTTCTCCTCTTCTCTAGCCTTTCATCCATGTCCGTTATCAGGAGTGAGAAGAGCTTAGTGTTCAACGGGCATCCTTGTCTCACGCCTCTCATCGTCCAAAACCGTTCCCTACAATACTTTCACCTTTCTCACTGTCTCGCTATACCCCTCCCTTGCCCCTCTATCAACCCACCATTTACCCCTCCCTTTCTCAGCGTCTCCCATAGCAGCCGCCTGTTTACCGAGTCAAAGGCTACTTTCAGGTCCACAAAGAAGGCAAACATTATCCCCCCTACCTTCCCTACCTCCCTGTTCGCCAGGTAATTCAACACGTATATGTGGTTGATTGAACTTCCTGTACGCTGCCTGGTTCTCAGGGAGCATTCCTTTCTCCTCCATCTCCATTTCCAGTCTCTCCTCCAGGACTTTCACGTAGACTTTGTACCCCACACCCATCAACGTGACTTCTCTATAAGCCTCTACCCTCGTCCCCTCCCCTTCCTTCTTTAGTGGTACAATTATCCACCCATATTTTCAAGTAACCCACTCTCACCATCTTCCCCTCCCTCCTTTCCCTCTCTGCCTCCCTGTTTATTATCCACTCCGCCTTCCTTTCCCTTTCCGTCAAGTCATCCCTTATTGTTTCCGGCGTCCTTCCCAGTCACCTTTTTTCTCTCATCATTCAAGAGTCTGACCTACGCTACTAGCCTTCCCTTCCTTTTCTTCTTGCTGAGGGTTCTTACGTCCTCTACCTCCACCTTGACCCCTATGTCCCCTAACAGCTTCAGTGCCACTTCCTTCCCTTCTCCGTCCATCCTCAGCCCTCTTATAATTATATTCTTTCTTCGCTTCTCTCTTTTGCTCCCTTTCCACGACATTTTCCATTCTCACTATCCTCTCATACCACCCCCGTCCTCCACCACGCCCTCCATCGTCCCCATTTCCTCTATCCTTTGTCGCATCACTTCCCATTTCTCCTCCCTGACTTCCATCCTATTCATCCTCTTTTCCATCTCCTCCATCCTCCTGTTCGTCTCCTCCATTTCCTTTTCCCCCCTCCTTCCCCATTTCCTCTATCATCTTCGTCAACCCCCTTCTTTCTTCCCTCATTTTCCTCATCTCCTCTCTTGTTTCCCGCCACTCTCCCCTGATCTCCCTTATCTCCTCCCTTAACGCATTCAGCGCTCCCACCATTCCCTCCTCCATCTCCTTCTGCTTCTCTGGTGACCTAACCGTTTTCGCACTCTTCTTAAACGCCTCCAACTCTTCCTCACCTCCCTTCGCTTCCTCCCTATCCTTCCTTTTCCTCCCCCACAGCCCCTCCACGCTTCCTGACAGGCTGTGCGCCCTTTCCCCCCACAGCTTTTCTACATTTGTTGGCCTGCCCCTCTTACTCACTTCCCCTTTTCCCTCTTCTCCCTTGTCACCCATTCTGAGCCCCCTGCTTCCTTCTTTATCAGCTGTCTCCCTGTCACTTCTCTACTCTCACTCACAAGTGTCACTGCCGCTCTAGCCTTTCCGCCTTTTCAACTCCTTTGCCACTTTGTTCGCCCTAACCTCACTTTTTCCACACTCTTATTTTTTGCCCTTCCTGCTCCCACGCCACTGCTGCCCACCCCTACACTGCCTTCGTCCTTTTTCCTCCCTCTACTCTGTACACACTCCACGAAATTTTTCTCTCGCACACGCTCACTACACTCTCTCTCGCCGCCGGAAACGGAAGTCCAACAAATTTAATTTAATGCAATAAATAAAAGAAATAAAATAATAAAAATTGTGAACTAAATATATAAATGTATACGTTATAAATTAATAAATAAATAACGCTTAGTGAAAATTTCAATGTATTATTATGTGTATGTTATATATTTGGTGACAGCTTTGAAACATTTATCTTTATACATTAAGGAAATTGTGCATTAAAAACAAACATAGTCGATTTAACTGTGGTTTATTATAAACGTTGTGTACAAAATATATATTTTAAATAAAACAAAATTAAAATTAAACAAAGTTAAACAAACTTAAACACAATTAAACAAAATTAACAAAATGAATATTATACCTTTCTTTTGAATACTTTTTGCAACTTTCTTGGCAGCAAATTTTCTTCTTCAATCCTTCTTCTTGAAAGACATATTGTTATAAAAAATGTCCGAAACAAAAGAAATAAAATTAGAAGTTGATTTTTAATGAATGTTATTCAGTACGCGAATGGCTTAGGTTTCAGTAGTGTCAAAATAAAATGATATTTATGTACGAAATATGTAAAAAACAAACGATTTAAATAACAAACGACAGCTGATAAAAGTATGATTTCATTTCTTATGTTTTTTTTATTTGCTATTATACGCAGTTTCTTGCGATGCATGCCGACTTGCTTGTTCGGAGGTTCGTAGTACAAGCGCGGCGCGTAGCCAACGCTACCGCAGGAGCTCCACCGGCAGACTCATGAGCTGATTGGTCGGGGTTTTTTGTTAATATCTCGTTAACGAAGCCGCAGATTACATTTTCGCTAAGGAAAAAGTGGTTCCAAATCACCCCCCGAGTATCCCATTTCCGGGTCGAACAACATTTTTGTTACACCCTGCATAACCATTGGCCGACGAGAGAGTTGTAAGCGGACTTACGCAACCGCGCAGAGTAAATAGAAGATAAGGATCAGGCTTCTCTTTCTGTTTTTCATTCACTGTCGTTTTTTTTTGGTAAAGTACAAAAGCAAGTTACCGAGGTTCGGGCTACGAGCAAAAACAAATTGTGAGGTGCTAAAACGATCACGGCGTAAGATGTATATTTCAAACAGGCCTCGATTACCGACCTCTCATCGATCCATTACTATTCTAGACTTAGAACGTAACCTCATTTCTTCTCAACTGCCAACGATTGATTGTTTTTAATTATTATTTCATTCCTGATACAAATCTCGATTGACACATTAATTAAGAGCCTTCTTTGATAAATACTTTGCTTCATGCAGGAACAGAAAGTGTGATGTCAAAATCATTGTTAAGGAAAATGATTTTCAGAGAAAGTGTGCCTCGAGTATCTCGAATAGTCCAGACTTGAAAATTGTATTTATACATAATATGGTACTTAACGAAAACTTACTTGAAGTTCCTTCGTCCTTTACGTCCTGAACGATCCTCCGCACGCTTTGTGTAAATTTACAAACGAGATTCGAACCCGCTGAAACAAACAATTCGACAATTATACAAAACTGTGTACAAAGATAACAATGAAAAGTAAATTAAATAGTCTTATAATCGATTAAGCGATAAATAATTATATCGCACAATAAAAGGAACGCTCAATTTTTGCCGAAACATGGCTGATAGAAACAATTATAACTTCGTAACAAGAAAACATATATGTAACAATCATTCTGTACTCGTTTTAAAGCATGAAGCCTCTACTTTTAGAATCGTTTATAGTTTTTCCCATAAAGGTTTCTGCATCATGTGGGAGACTGGAAGGCAAAGATGCTTTTTCGTTTTGAACATTTTTCAAATTCAACCTATTCCACAGAGATTAAACAATTTTTTGGGGACTAAAATCACCACAGGAATGAATGAAAAGTGCGCCGCCAGTATTAAAATAACTCGTTTTGAACATTTAGGCACTCACACGCTAAAAGCACTAGGTAAATGTATACTATAATCACACACATTATACGTATACAGTAAATACATACATACTCGACACATACTAAATTCACACACTAAACACGTACACATTAGGTACAAGTCCGTCCGTGCAACCTCCACGTCGTAAGTCTGGGGTTATTGTAATGCTGAAGATTCATGCTTGTAGGATCGGTTGAATTTGAAAAGTTTTCCAAACGAGAAAGCATCTTCGCTTACCAGTCTCCCACATGATACCGGAACCTCTGTGGGAAAAAAGCTAACTAAGGATTTACACTTTAAAATGAACCCAGAACAATTGTTGTATGTTTTCTTGTTACGAAGATATAACAGTTTAAATATTAATCATTTTTCCGCGAAAATTGAGCGTCCCTTTATTTATTGCGGGACAGCGTATTTCTGTCTACATTACTGAACATCAATGGTGGACACGGTTAATTTTGCTAAAAATATTTCAATTTCGTAGATATGTACATATAAATACTAAATTAGTGAAATAGAAAATGGTAGTTTACTTGCTAGTGTACCTAATTCTTCATCTCTCTGTAATGACGTTCTTGGCAGCATTACATAAAACGATTCATTTCGTTTGAATGCAAGCTTTCAGACCTAACTCTGTCCCAATTTTAAAAATATGAATTTTAGATATTAATAGAAAATACGTTGCTTGTTACAGAACTCCAATGCAATGTAACATGCATATATGTCGTCCTTGTCTGACGCAATTGTGAGGCATCGCTTCAAGGTTGTATCATGTGTGTAAACACGAGACGAGGAAAAAATAGAAGGGAACGAGAACAAGTAGAGTAGCGTGATGGAATGATCGGTAACGCGAGGAACGTTTAGCGGACGACTGTTCAATGTGTAAGGTCCGTCTAACTTTGTAATTGTAGTTGACATTCCGTCGCTGTAATCTGGCCTGGATGCATGCGACGAACTGATTGTCTGTGACTGACTTTGACCGAGTGTTAATCATTTCTCGCTTCGTTGATTCCGTGTAACGTCATCTTTATTCGGCGAGTTGACACCGAAACAGAATGGTATTTATAGTAATACACATAAATCTGTTTCTGTAATTGCACTGTTGAAATTGCCATCGAGCTTGTAAAAAGAAATGGACACTATTATGTTATTGTGTTTTGATTTTTATTTTAACCTTACAATCTGGTGTCCAATTCAATTCAGTTTTTCTAACAACTGTCTATTGATACAGAGATGCACACGCTAATTCATAAATATTAGGACATTTATCGAACATGAAATGAATGTAATAAGGAATACGAAATTGACGGGTCGGATGCAATAAGGGAACTAGCGCTCGAAAATGCAAAAAAGTATTGTCCACACGCTACAAAAGATTGGAAAATTAATTGTCGTTAAACTGGATTTTACAAAATATAGTGTTGTAAAGCTCACGACGACACACATTTTTTTATGTACAGTTTGGTTATCCAATCATTATTATTCTAGATAAAAATTATAAACGAAAAATTTGTCTTCGTCTAAAGTTAATATTTTTTGAAATATAAATTGCGATAACTTGAGTAAATCTGAACGGATCGTAATGGGACTTGAAACAATAAGTTCAAAAAACTCTAGCGAAGCCGTAAAATGTATGAAAAAGACCCTTATGTTAAAACATGTAATAATATTTCAATACAATGTAATACGGGACAGAATCTATGCATTCCAACATTCGCCGCCAAAAAGTATCGAGGCAATTTTGAGGTACATGTAACTTGCATCGAGAAAATTGTTCCCTAATATACAAGGAACTTTTTCATAAAGTTTTACACTGATTAATAAATAGGCGTAGAACGTATGGCAATATATGAACTTCGCGCCGCACCAACAGACAGCAGCCACGTGCACTGCCCTACCTAGCACTCGCATTAAGCTGCGTCCCCATTATACCGATCGGCAAAACCGATTGAGAAAACTGAACATATGGGAATATGTCATCGGCACGTGCCAACAGGTTGCGTGGCATAATGAGGACAGAAAATAGGCCAATCGGTTTTGCCGATCAGCACAATGGGGACGCAGCTTCACACTGCAAAAACATGACTTATTATTATATGATTATTCGTTACAAAAGAATATTGCAATATTATATTCCAAATATTTATTAACATTTTTATTACAATATTTATTCGCGAAAATGTTTATAAGGTATTTACATCACGTTTTGTTTCTGCACTTTTATGACATTGCAAAAAAGAAAAGGTAGACGAAAAGATAGAGAAAAATGTCATAATAGAACAGAAATAAATCATGATGCTAATACCTTATAAACATTTACGTATATAAATATTGTAATAAAAATATTAATAACTATTTGGAAAATAATATTACAATATTCTTTTGTAGTGAATAATCATATAATAATGAGTAAGTCATGTTTTTGCACTGTAACACGAATGCTAAGTAGCGCAGTGTGTACGCGGATGCTGCCTGTTGGTGCCGCGCGAGATTCATATATGTATATCGCCATATCTTCTAGAATTATTTATTAACAAGTGTGAAACTTTGTGAAAACCGTCCTTGTATATTAAGGAACAATTTTCTCGCTGCAAGTTACATGTACCTCAAAATTACCTCGATACTTTTTGGCGACGAATGTTGCAATGCATAGATTCTGCCCCGTATTACATTATAGTGAAATATTATTACATGTTTTAACATAAGGGTTTTTTGCATACACTTTACGGTTTCGCCAGAGTTTTTTGAACGTATTGTTTCAAGTCCCATTACGATCCGTTCAGATTTACTCAAGTTATCGCAATTTATATTTCAAAAAATATTAACTTTAGACGAAGACAAATTTTTCGTTTATAATTTTTATCTAGAATAATAATGATTGGATAACCAAACTGTACATAGAAAAAATGTGTGTCGTCGTGAGCTTTACAACACTATATTTTGTAAAATCCAGTTTAACAATACTTAATTTTCCAATCTTTTGTACCGTGTGGACAATACTTTTTCGCATTTTCGAGCACTAGTTCGCTTATTGTATCCGGTCCCTCAATTATTGACAGACTGAAATTACTATTGTTTAGAGGGACTTATTGCAGACTTATGCAAATATAAATATAACAGGATGTTCTAATACATATGAACGCAGCGTACATTCAACACTAATTGTAAGAACTACAAGTAATTTTCCAATACTTTGCTGCAGTCGAAGTGTAGGATTTTGTGTAGAGTGATTATTGCAGACATGCCTCTTACAATAATCAGATGTTGAAGCATGTTTGTTACCGTTCCCTTGTTAAGATATACAACAAAAACAATAAAAGGCAGACGTTTTAAAATAAATATTCCGACTAGTCGGATACGTCTTGTTTCTGCAGAGCGTTTGAAGGAACTACAGTGGCCGCCCGTTTATTGCATATTTCAGGGCTGTGGAGGGCCAGAATTCCAGGAATTATGCAATAAACGTGCGCCAATTACCCGAACGCTTTCCCAACTCGTCCGTTTAGTTGTGCGACTCAGCTATATATAGGGTAGGCTGGATATACGCACTCTATGGACATCTTAATTATCTCGTTATTTTTAGAGATATCAGAAAAGTTTATTCACAGAAGTTGTTTAATATGGAAAGGACTATTACTTAGCAGTAACAATTTTTTCGTAAGTGGCAAATCTTCATAGTTTTCAAGATTAATTATGTTTTCTCTTTAATGATATTAAAACATTGTGGAATAAAAATATTTTTTTCCGTAGATGGATCCTTCTAAACATTCTGCGTAATAAAATATTAAGGGGTTATGTGCAAAAAGTTAATAATTCGTGAGATATTTTATATACAAAATAGGAAATTTGTCACAAACTGTTAATTATTTCTCGACTTATAACAAAATTATTTCTGCAATGTTATGGACCTTCTCATACCATATAACTGTTGTGAATAAAGTTTTTTTTATATCTGTAGAAATAATGGAGATAATTAAAGCGATCAATGTTGCTGGGCTATTTTTTTTAATGCACATATGATTGAACAGACGTTTCATTTATTCTTCTTTACTGAAAACAATTTTAATGAATAATATGAATTATATTGTGATATGCATACATAATAATCAAAATTACTGAATAATTCCTTTGAATGCACATATGATTGAACAGACGTTTCATTTATTCTTCTTTACTGAAAACAATTTAATGAATAATATGAATTATATTGTGATATACATACATAATAATCAAAATTACTGAATAATTCCTTTGAATGCACATATGATTGAATAATAGTTTCATTTATCCTTCTACATTAAAACCAATGTAATGAATAATATGGACAAAATTGTGACGTACAAAATGATTCACAACTATGGTCTGTTTTTCGAAAGAAGATGTCTGGGAGGTAGGCCTGCCCCGGCGCGTGGCTTGGTGGGGATCCGACGCGAGCTGCGTATTTCGTGCAACGTTGTCACGGTCTCAATGCCACTGTGTGTCTCTTTTCATCCTCCGACACTTCGGCACGAGAGCCTCTCGCTCAGACGCTCGGTAAACCAACTTCCTTCTTTACCCTGCGATTTC